CTTATTGTTCTCAAATGTCATTATATGATACATTACTTGTGTATTATCGAAGTAGTTTTTGATGATGTTGGATGCTCAAACAACTACTATATATCGATGGATCATTTCTCCTCTTTGTTAGCAACGAAACTTCATCAGTCCAAAAAAAACAACAAGTCCTCTTACATATATAACCTTTCTGTGAATTCGACAAAATCAAGTTTTCAAAACTCTTTCTTTCATGATATGCTTGACAATATTAGACTTAATTTCTCAGTGACAATCACTTCGCTAGATGGAATCAGGAAGTCAAAATGTGCTGGTTTCTTTTGAAACGATCCAACTAAATCGTGAGAAAACTCTTTTTTTTTCCAGCACCACACGAATCTTGATCCTAAGATTTTACTAGATTTTAACCCACACTTGAAAAGCGCGGAAATTTTTTATGATTAAAAATTTATATAATTGGGTTTTGTCTTCATTTAAAGAATGTTTTGGTATAAAATCAGTTCACCAAAATTTGTGGTGTTTCAGTTTTTATTTTTAGATGATGTTTTAAATTTTGGTTTTTAGTTTTTAAGTTTATATTTTTGATTTTCAGCTTTTGGTTTGGGTTTTTAATTTTTAGACCTGCTGAGTTAGTTTGAACTGATATTACCAACAAACAAATCTCAAATAATCAAACATCTAATTTAAACTGAAAAGATGAATTTGCAATAGTTTACTTTGTAAATAAACAAAAGCAAAAAATATAACCTGCGTTTTTAGCTTTTGGTTTTGGATTTTAGTTTTTAGATTTGGTTTTTGGTTTTTGGTTTTGCTTTACATATTTTTTAAAAATCTGTAAATTATCTAAGAAAAATAAAAAAATAAATTATTTAAAAGTTACCATTAAAATTTCTCAAAGAAATGATTGTTATTTAAAATAAAAAATACATTAACATGTTTTAAAGTACATGATTTAAATAAATGATTAATAATAGACAATTTGTTTTGTTGAAAATATTAAATTTTGGGCATGAAAATAATAATTGATTTTTTTATCTAGTAAGGTGAAAAGTTTATTCAATGTTTTTTTTTAGTTTTTCCTTAATACTAAGCCCAAAAACCAAACCATATAATCTACTCTATTAAAATAGAGTCATTCTTTTTATTTACTGATATAAGTTGTAATTTAAATTTGGACCCTTTCTAGAGTGTTACAAATATGTAATACAAGCCATATAAATTAATTGAACCGCATTACTTAAATTAAACCGATGGTTATTTATGAGATATAGTCTTGGGCTTACTTTTGTTTTTAGAACAAATTATATAGTTTTGTTTTTGGGCATAGTTTTAAAGAAAAACTCCAAAAAACATTGAATAAACTTTCCACCTTAATAGATAAAAAATCAATTATTATTTTTAGGCCCAAAAGCTATTTAATATTTTTAACAAAACAAAATTGTATATTATTACTCATCTATTTAAATCATGTACTTTAAAACATGTTAATATATTTTTTATTTAAAATAACAATCACTTTATTTGATAAATTTCAATGGTATTTTAAATAATTTATTGTTTTCTTTTTCTTAAATAATTTACTGATATAAAAAAAATGTAAAGCAAAACCAAAAACCAAATCTAAAAACAAAAATCAAAACCAAAAGCTGAAAACACAAGTTCTATTTTTTTACTTTTGTTTATTTACAAAATAAACTATTGCAATTTTTTTTGTCATCTTTTCAGTTTTAAATTGGATGTTTGATTATTTAGGATTTGTTTGTTGGTAATATCAGTTCAAACTAATTCAACGGGTCTAAAAATTAAAAACACAAACCAAAAGTTGAAAATCAAAAGTAAAAACTAAAAACTAAAAACCAAAATCTAAAAATAAAAACTAAAACTAAAACCTAATGAAAAACAATCATCATCACAAATTTTGGTGAACTGATTTTATACCAAAACATTTTTTAAATTAAGACAAAACCCAATTATATAAATTTTTAATCATAAAAAATTTTCGCGCTTTCAAGCGCGGATCAAAATCTAGTTTGTTTTAAAAACAAAATAAAGCCAAGACTATATCCCATAAATAACAGCCGGTTCAATTTAAGTAATGCGGTTCAATTAACTATATGATTTGTATTATTTGTAACACTCTAGAAAGTGTCCAAATTTAAATGACAACTTGTATCAGTAGATAAAAAGAATGACTATATTTTAATAGACTAGATGTTAGCAATATCATTACATTTTCGTTATAAATTAAAGAAAAATAAGTAAATAAAAATTTAATCCACATTAATTGGGGCGGGGGGCAAATAGTTTCAAATTCAAATATTTGGACCAGTGTTGAAATAATCAATATTTTGGGGGGTAATTCAGGAAAGTGGAAGAATGCTTGCAAGATTTGTTTCTTCTTCGTCTTCTTCCTCACATTCTCGTTAACATCGCGCAACACCTTACCCATCTCCGGACGGCGAACATCTTCAAATCCTCAACGACCGAAACCCATTTCCTCAAAATCCAAAAGTTTCACACTTTCGATTTTGATTTGGTGGTGGAACGATGGACGATTACACTAGAGAGATGATGGATCTCAAGACCTTAGTCACTCGAACCCTCGAAAAGAAAGGTGTTCTCGCTAAGATCCGGGTAACTACAGAGATAATAGATCTCAAAGTTTCAACCTTTTAGCTTAGATAGAAGAAAAAAAACCCAATTATACATTTTAGGGTTTCTGGGTTCAGATCCTTGGTTAGGGGTTTCAATGTTGCTGATGTTGTTTATGTATTATGCATATAGATTCCCTGATAAGTTCATGTTGATTCAAAGTTTCGTTCTTTATAGATAATTAGGTCTGTAATGTTGAGAAGAGCTGATATAGTTTTGTTGCTATGGCAGGCTGAGCTACGAGCGAGTGTGTTTGAGGCAATTGAAGAAGAGGATCGAGTGATTGAGAACAACGAAGGGCTGCCTCCAGCTTTGTTGGGAAGCTGTAATGATCGTGCAAGGCAGCTTCATGCTCTTCCCTCAGGTATTTGGCATATATATCTGCTCGGATCTGTTCTGTGTGGTTTTCATACGGTTAGGCTTCTGTGTCATCTTTGCATCACATCTCACTGTTTTGTGTAACTTATGACTTGATTTAGAACAGTCTGTCTAGGTTTGCAATTTGAGTTTGATTCACATGAACATTGAGGTTTTGGAGTTGAGTAGTTCCTCACTTTGAAGTGTTGGATGAAATGCAGGTAGGTTGTTATGTGCGTTAGTTTGTGAGTACTTGGAGTGGGCGCAACTCGATCACACGCTCAAAGTGTATCAACCCGAATGTAATTTGGTAATCAAGTAATCACTTCTCTTGTTTTATTTGATTGTATAGTTCAGTAGATTGTAGATAAAGTTTAAAACCTTGCTTCTTACTGATCTGCATTGTGCCTGAATAACCTATGCACAGCAAAAGGACTCGTGGAAGTCTGAATTAAACGACTTTAGCAGCAACCATGGTTATGAGCTCAACAGAAATGGAGATAGCGCACCGCTTCTTCTTGATGTTCTTGAAGGATTCTTGAAGTTCGAGGTATCCTTATCCTTTATGTGAACATATGTTTATTAAAAAAAATAGAAACTCAAGAACTCAATATAAAAATCTAGTATTCTTTACTTTATCATATGTCTTGCTTTGTTCTTCTTAGGTTTAGTGATCAACATTATTGTTTTTTTGTTTACAGAGCATGACACAGACCATGGGTGGTAACTCAAGGAGAGAGTCAGAAAGTGAGTCATCATCAAGCCTTGACTCTAGGAATCCTCCTCGCAGATCATCTGCTTCTGACAACTTACCTCCTCTACGAAGGTACACATATCCCCCCAACACCATTTTATGCCAAATAAAAGATCTTTATATATATTTCCTGTTGCATATCTGAGTCGGTCTTGCTTGGTTGTTTGGTGTTTGATTAATAAGCAGGACGGGTTCTGGATCCCAAGGATCAGGTGAGTCATCATTCCCCTACATTCTTGAACTAATATGGTATGTTAATTGATGTCTTATACCAAATGATTTGGATATGGTTTTTCAGATAGAAGAGGTGGGACTAATTACAGAAAAGATGAAATCAATTGGAGACACGGTAATCAAGATGCGCATGAAGAGGTGATGAGAGCTTCAGCGGCGCTTGAAAATCTTCAGCTTGATAGGAAAACTCGGAACATGACATCCTCTTGGAGGTAAATCTTTTGAATGCTTTTATCATTAGTTTGAAATGGAAAAAAAGGAAAAGGTTAATAGTGTTGTTTGTGTTTGTAGGAATGTTAGGGATGGAGCAAATGAAGATGAAGGGAGGGATTGATTTAGCATTGATAATAAAATGCAGCTTCTGAGAGTGAGTGTTGGTTTGTGTACGTGATATGTATGTATGTTCTTTATTTGCAAAACAGTGTGTTTCGTGGGAACCCCTGTCTCTTTAAGGTTATTCATGACATCATACTAAACGGTTAATGTTTTTTCTTGAGCTGGTTTGGTAAGAGAGGAAACTCACAAAGAATGAGTTGCATAGTGTAGTTGCAATGTTATTCACTTTCTTCTATTGTGATGGGTTATCATCACTGCCTTGAGTATTCAAGTGATCCCTCTTCAAAGTGAAGCAGTTTGGTAGTTTTATAGAGATCTAACTTTCACGAGTTATGCGTCATCTAAGTTAGGTGGTGGATCCAACTATATACTTGAATCATATCATGTCATAACTTTATCAACAGTTCATGCTATAGGCATTAAAAATAGCTTTTTGGTAAATGTTCAATTGAAAAATAATTCGTAAACCTGGTCCTAAGACAAGTCAAACATTGAGTTAATCTCTCAAAATATGTATTAATCTCTCAAGTCATGTAATAATATGTATTGTGTTAGACAAAAAAAAAAGTATTATGTTTGTTCTTCCATGTTGAGGTGGTAATTGTGTAAAACAACAACAACAAAAAAAAGAAACAAGTAATGGGTGGTGTTATTAGGGTTTTAAAACCTTAAATATTTTTAATTTACTTTTGGCTTTCTTCTCTGTCGTTCAGACACAAACGCTCAGCCCAGTCCCCTTCCCGGCGTCGCCTCAGTCTCTTTTACTCTACTCGTGTTGAATTGTGTAAGCCATGGAAGCTCGGATTTTGCAGTCCTCTTCTTCTTCTTCTTCTTGCTACTTCTCCACCGGTTCCATCAACCGATACCGTTTCTCCTCCGTGTCACCATCTCTGAAGCCTCTCTCCGTCAGTTTCTCTCATAAGACGAGAACAACAACAAATGTTATATCAATGTCGAAGAAAGATGACAACACCGAGAGTCTCAGTTACAAAGGGTCAGGTGTGGATATCGATGCTGGAACTGAGCTCGTTAGAAGAATCGCTAAGATGGCTCCTGGAATCGGCGGCTTCGGTGGTCTCTTCCCATTAGGTACAACTAAGCACTAATGCTAAACTTTCACCTTTGAGAATGTTTAAAGTTTTGATTTTTATGATTTGGGTTTGTTTGGGAGGAGCAGGTGATTTTTTTCTTGTAGCTGGTACGGATGGTGTAGGGACTAAGCTTAAGTTAGCCTTTGAAACCGGGATCCATCATACCATTGGAATAGACTTGGTAACACAAAACAATAAGCCTTGTGTGTGTGTGACCTTTTTGTTGGAGACACTCATTGTTTTGGTTCCTTTGTTGCAGGTTGCTATGAGTGTGAATGATATTGTTACTTCTGGTGCAAAGCCTCTCTTCTTCCTGGATTACTTTGCTACTAGTCGTCTTGATGTAGACCTTGCGGAGAAGGTATGGCTGCTTCCTCTTTTGCTTCTAGGACATGATATATTCATGAAGAGTCTCTATGCTACTGTTTCCAGGTTATTAAAGGGATTGTTGATGGCTGTGGGCAATCAGACTGTGCTCTCTTAGGTGGAGAGGTATGTTTTTTTGCTTTTGGCAATGTAGTTTATGCATGCCTTGGTTTGATTGGTCTTTGTTTGGCTGTTTTAGACTGCGGAGATGCCAGACTTTTACGCAGAGGGAGAGTATGATCTCAGTGGGTTTGCAGTTGGGATAGTGAAGAAAGACTCTGTTATTAACGGGAAGAACATAGTGGCAGGAGATGTTCTTATTGGCCTTCCATCTAGCGGAGTTCATTCCAATGGCTTCTCTTTAGTAAGAAAGTAAGTTCATTAGTGGATAATATGAGATTATATTCAATGACGTCAAACTAAAAGACCACAATTGTTTTCAGGGTTGTGGCTCGAAGCGGTCTTTCGCTGAAAGATGAGCTTCCAGGTGGATCAACTACACTTGGTGAAGCTTTAATGGCACCCACTACCATTTATGTGAAGCAGGTTGAGGGTTTTTTTTCTTTGTCAACAAAAAGTTGAGATTACATGTGTTACCAACGCTTTCTCTTTCTATATATATCCACAGGTACTTGACATAATCAGCAGAGGAGGAGTGAAAGGGATAGCTCATATAACAGGTGGAGGTTTCACAGACAACATCCCTCGTGTCTTCCCTGACGGTTTAGGTGCTGTTGTCAACACTGATGCTTGGGAACTTCCACCATTGTTCAAATGGATCCAACAGGTAATGAGAAAACATCTATCAGTCAAGATAACTCTTACCAATGTATGTGCTTGAAATGTTTTGATTGTTGGTGTGTTATTGAAGTCTGGGAGAATAGAAGATAGTGAGATGAGAAGGACGTTTAACCTGGGGATAGGGATGGTTCTGGCGGTTAGTCCAGAGGCGGCTACGAGGATACTTGGAGAAGCCAAGAATGGAGATTATGTTGCCTATCGTATTGGAGAAGTTATAAATGGTGAAGGTGTAACATATCATTAGATGCATGTTTGTGGTTTTTACCAACAATCATTCTGTTCTAAATACACCTTGCGAATGCAAGTTTTGTGTGAGAGAATAAGACCACTTTGTTTCACAAGTTTTAATCCATTTGTCTGGAAGCTGTTGCACTGACATGCTTTTTTTTGAGGTTTGAAAACCAGGATACTGTGTTCAAAAAAAAAGGAAGAAAACCAGAATACTACTGAATCGTTTGCACATCAATTTACTACACACCATACATGTCTTGTATCTTAATCTCACCTTCTCAATATTCATTATCTTTACATGCTTAGCAAACCAACTAACAAATATGCTAAAAAATATATTCAAAACTTAGGTTTAAAAGTTTAGTCCGCAGAAATACTAACATGAGACCTTCTAAGAGCATAGTTTCTTCTAAATTTTTGAGTTGGGTATGGAATAACACATATTTAAAATAAAGTAGGATCGGAGATGCACGTCTAAATTTTAGAGTATAAAATGAAGTAGGATCAGAGATGCTTGGATAGTAGGAAGTGTCTTGGATTGTACCATCTTTTCCTTTTGCTGATGCCTTCTCTTCATTAACATGCTCTATAACAAACCACAAGGTGGTGGTCTAGTGGTAGGCGAGTTTTGAGATTTGTTAAGCAATCCGGGTTCGAAGGCACCCTACTATATATTATCTTGTGGTCACGTGGATATGAGCCTATCTTATGATCCATTTGAATACTCGGTGTGAGAGTCCATCCGTGGGCTGCACCACCCCTTTGGAGATTTGGATTTGTGTAGACTTTTCCATGGTCTGGATACCCCAAGGTTAAACAAAAAAAAACATGCTCTATAGCTTTTTAGGGTGTTGAGTTCTGCAAACGCAGGTAAATGCTTTATTACCTGCAAGACTTGAGAAGCATATCTCTGCGCTGCTGCTGCATCCTACTCAGTAAATCTTCGTGCATCTTCTGTTATTGCTTTATCCACATCAACAACTTCATTAAGTATCAAATACTCTCAACATTCGTATCAGCTATATATAGAAAGAAAAACTTGTCATCCAAATATGTCTGTGACCTTTGGAGTTGTAAATAATTTTAATGTTTTTTTTTTTGAAATAAGAACATATATATGTAAATTATTTCTTAACTACTTAGAGAAACTTGAAGTGCGCTATTTGCTTCAACAATCATCGATCAACTTGAACTTACGGCGCACGTTACGGTCCTCCTTGGCGCACATTAGCATCCCTCCTTGCTTCATTATTGTTGGCCGTTGTGCGTTCTTTGAAAGGCTTCAGGGTTCCTGATTCCCTTGAGAGGAGGTGTCGCCACATCACATCTATCTTCGAATTCACAGATCACGCATCGTGGCGGCGGATATGCCTGAAGAAGACATCGTAACGGTGGATCAGAACAGTTATAATGCTGACGAAGCTTCTTTGCCATTGCCACATCCATCTTCAAAAGTCCTTACATTGCCCACCGTCTTAACCCTTGCCCGTGTAGCCGCCGTTCCAATCCTCGTCGCGAGTACGTTTAAATCATCAGATCTAAACGAATGAAAGTCTCAAACCATCGATTACCAATCTGAATTGGATCTTCTTCATCTTGGTTCTGTTTTTGTAGCTTTCTACGTTGATTGCTGGTGGGGGAGA